ACAAGTGGATTCGTCTTCAGCTTCAACTGCAAATGTCAGGTATGAATGGAGAAAACATGGATTCCAAGCAAGATCCAACACAAATGTGGGAAAGTCCTCTAACACTTCAACAGGGTTTGAGTCAGGTGCATATTTCTGCAGAAAAGTTAAATAATACAGACATGTTAATTGATCATTTCCCTATATGGACCACATTTACATTGCCTTGGGTTAAAAGACAGGAGAACAGGTATCTATGTATTTTAGTTAGTTCTTTTCTATTACCTAAACTAGCCAGTCTGGTTTCAAAAACCATGGGGTGCAACAAACAATGAGTTTAATGTGTAATGAAAGACCAAGGAATTGGGGGGGGGGGGGACAACACACACTAGGGAATCTAAGTTTATCCATTCTAAAGTCAGCCTCCTGGCAAATAGAAGGGGAAGAAATGGAGGCAGTGAGAGATTTTACTTCCCTGGGCTCCATGATCACTGCAGATGGTGACAGCAGTCATGAAATTAAAAGACGCCTGCTTCTTGGGAGAAAAGCAATGACAAACCTGGACACCATCTTATAAAGCAGAGACATCACCTTGCCAACAAAGGTCCGTATAGTTAAAGCCATGGTTTTCCCAGTAGTGATGAATGGAAGTGAGAGCTGGACCATAAAGAAGGCTGATCGCCGAAGAATTGATGCTTTTGAATTATGGTGCTGGAGGAGACTCTTGAGAGTCCCATGGACTGCAAGAAGATCAAACCTATTTCTGAAGGAAATCAGCCCTGAGTGCTCACTGGAAGGACAGATCCTGAAGCTGAGGCTCCAATACTTTGGCCACCTCATGAGAAGAGAAAACTCCCTGGAAAAGACCCTGATGTTGGGAAAGATTGAGGGCACAAGGAGAAGGGGACGACAGAGGACGAGATGGTTGGACAGTGTTCTCGAAGCTACCAGCATGAGTTTGACCAAACTGCATGAGGCAGTGGAAGACAGAAGTGCCTGGCATGCTCTGGTCCATGGGGTCATGAAGAGTCAGACACAACTAAATGACTAAACAACAACAAAACTCAACAAAACAGAGTTGCTAATGGCATGTCTCTTCCAGGAAATTTCATTAGAGAAAGAAATAAAAGTGAGAGATCTGTGGTGCAACAGTATTGTCCCACCATTAAATGAGTTATTTGAACATGAGATTCTCAGAACTATTTCAGAGGGCCAGATCAATTTCTTGAACACCATTAACTGGGAGTAAGTAAAGTGTTCTCTATCAGTCTTTTTTTTTTTTTTGTAATCTGAAGATGGTTTTCTGTAGTCTGCAGTACAGGAACAAATTGGAAGAGTGCAAAATTGGCACCACATAGCACCAGCATTTCTGTATTGTTGTGTTTCCATGGTCACAATCAGGCAGGTAGCACAGAATGGCTTTGTAAGGTGCTTTCAGTTCTAGGTCATGCTGCCTCCTGACATCACCTTCCAATATACCTGTAGCCAAATTTCTATATGATTTGCTTCATCCTGGATCACCTTGCTGACCCCATGGTCTATGCTGAAAAAGATGTGTAAGAACTCTGCAGAAATTCTTAAGAGCTTTTCTGTTTTTAGAAGAGCTACTTTTTAGAGAACATGTAACATATCTGTGGCTCAATTCCTCTAGAAGGCATGGAAGCAGGGTCAATGAATGTTCATTGGCTGGATTGAGACAAAAAGACACTGGTTACTTTGAGCCACGATTCCAGTGACCATAGGAGCATAGGAAGTTGCCTTGTACTGAGTCAGACCATTGGTCCACCTACCTCAGTTATGTCCACACTGACTGGCAGCAGCTCTCCAAGACAGGGGTCTCGCCCAGCCCTACCTGAAGACACTGAATATTGAGCCTGGGACCTTCGGCCTGTGAAGCAAATGCTGTGCTAGAAGAAGAAGGGTTTGGATTTGCTATCCCGCTTTATAACTACCTGAAGGAGTCTCAAAGCGGCTAACATTCTCCTTTCCCTTCCTCCCCCACAACAAACACTCTGTGAGGTGAGTGGGGCTGAGAGACTTCAAAGAAGTGTTACTGGCCCGAGGTCACCCAGCAGCTGCATGTGGAGGAGCGGAGACGCGAACCCGGTTCCCCAGATTACGAGTCTACCGCTCTTAACCACTACACCACACTGGCTCTGAGGTGACAGGCAGAAAAAGAGATGGTGTCAAGGAGCTCCCTGTCTGACTTAGAACAGGATCCATGAGTAAGGAAGTACTTCAGACCTTCTACATCCATGATTTGGAGGGTGATGGATATGGTGATGATGTAGCTTAACAGCCTTGTCCCTACTCTCCCTGCTCATGTGTCGTTTCTACACATGAGCATAATGCCCAAATCAGGCCATTGTAATTTCTCTAGTAAACAAGGAAAGGGGTCTTGTTTTCTACCACCCGCTCAGCATCTACAGGTTTTCCTCCAAAGAGAAGAACAAGCACATGAACTTCTGCTCCATGATGACACATGCTCTTAACAATCTGATTTAAAGGCTGAACCTCCTGCTGGAAAAGCCATTCCTTGGAGAGAAGATGAGTTCTTCTCTTTGGGGTCTTTGTTTTCAAGGGAGAAATATGGAATTAATAAATTCCATGTAATTACCCACACAACCAAGTAGTAGGGGCTGCTTAATGGATGCTGCCATTCCCAATTAACCAGATGTTTTAAGACCAAAAGGAACTAGTAAGCAACCCAAATGGGTACACATGTTACCAATTAGTATGTCCAATGGGGCTGGAATAAAAGCATGCCTTTAAGCTTTGATTTTATTCTCTCATTAGCTCCAGACAATTTTGTAAATTAAAGCAGAGGACACCCCCACCCCGCACAAACTACCCCCTTATAAATGAGAAGGCCTAAGGCGTTGTTTTTACATTTCGGTAGCTGAGTGTCTCAAAGCTTCACATGAATGTTCCTGTGGAGCTTTTAAGACACCGGTAATTGACAGTTCCTGTCTGCTCTCTTTAGCCTGTGCAATCAAGTTGATTTGTGCTGGTTTCAAGCTGCAAGGCATATTTATGGCCATTTAGGACTATGGGTCTAGCAGACCATTATGTGTTGCATATACTATGTCAGGAGCTCACGGGAATTAAGAGGTTTCTGCACAATGCCAAGGCAGAGGGTAATCTTTTTACCATAGCCAAATCACAGCCAAAGACTGAGAAATCAAGTTGTCATAAGCCATAATTCCATATTAAGCTGATTTTTTAAAGTTTAGGTTGAGAGGTTGTGGCTGAACAGGGATTTGAACTTGTTTCCTCTACATCTCAAGCCATCACTTCATCCACTGTGACCCAATGTGCACAATTAGGTACCCATTAGTGTATGAATGTTTAAATATGACTCTCTTTCAAGGTGGCCTCATCTGAGTCTGAGGACACGGAAACTATAATTCCTTTGTGAATATTAGCAGACATTTTCTGTAACAGTGTCTGAACGGAATGGTACTGCATGGTGGTGCAGATACCTGTAGGTTAATCCAGAATGTAGACCTAATTCTTGAGGAAGGAAGGGGAATAAGCTCAGTGGTAGTGCACCTGCATTTCATGAAGAAGGTTCTATCCCTAGCATTTCCAGGTAGAACTGGGAGAGGCCCCTGCCTGAACTCCTAGAGAGGCACTAGTTGTGATCAAGACGGACCAATAGTCTAAGCCAGGGGTCAGCAACCTAAGGCCCATGGGCCGGAAGCGGCCCATGGAGGCTGTTTGAACAGCCCATGAGCTGCCCCTGAACCGAGCTGCCCGCTCTCACACTGCACTAAACTGGCATGGGGACTAGCTTCCGTGTTGCCAAAAATTGCGTCTGTGCAGACGCCAAAAATTGTGGGCACACACACGATACGGCCCACGGAGGGATCTCTGCGGGAACAATCTGGCCCAGGCAAGATAAACCTTGCTGACCTCTGATCTAAGCCAACTTTGCATGCTCCTCAGTAGGCAGTAAATCTGTGTCTAGACTGGCCTATTACAGGTAGAGATTCACAAAATGAAATAATCCTCAATGAGGAAAGGATATACACATTGTAAGTTTTCATGTGGGCAGATTTCTGTGGAGCTGTATCCCCTCATTGGAGCCCCAGATGCAGCTCAGATGCAGGGGAGGACTACAACTACACCGTTGTGTGTGTGTGTGTGTGTGTGTGTGTGTGTGTGTGTGTATACCACCCGCCATGCAAAAATGGCTTTCAGGGTGGTATACAAAGACATTTTTTGAATGCAAACACAGGAATATAAAACATAACCAACACCACACTAAAATTAAAAGGGACAAAACCATTTAACCAGCTTAAAAAAAAACCATAATCTAAAACGCCTGAGCAAATCCAAAGGTTTTAAGCTAGCACCAGAACTTGCACCCCATTCTCTTGAAGTTGAAGCACCTTGTGTTTTCAGTGTTCCAAAATACTTAGCTTCATAACATGCAGTTGCTTAAAGAAACCTCCCCTTTCAAGCTCTTTGGATGGTGATAAAATGCTGGACCCTCAGCAATCCCAACAGCACCCCAGGGGACTTGTTCGTGTGCCCAGCCTAGGAGAAGTGCCTGGGTGTGACAATACCTGGCTCCTTTGGCAAGTTGTGCTGATACTAATCTGAGCAAGCAAAGGCAATTTCTTATGAAGTATGACAGGCTGGGAAGGAAGTGAAGCTTTTAAGAAAATGAAGTACCAACAGCCTGTGTTGGGCTTTATATAGCACCTGTTCATTGTCCTGGTATCTAAGCACTGAACAAAGACCCAGATGAAAAGCAAGAGGCCTAGAAAGGTATTTTGTGACATGACATTCATATTCTCATCTTGCAGTGACCTTTCCCAGGGACCTTGTCAGCCAGGAATAAAAGCAAGAAGTTCCTGTACAAGTGAAAACTGCGGCCCCAGAGAATAGTTTGTGGGTGAGGGGAATGAAAGAAACAAGCCAATGGGAAGGCAGAAGAAAGAAGCATAGAACAGCAGAGTTGGAAGGGACCACGAGGGTCATCTAGTTCAACCCCCTGCAATGCAATAATCTTTTGCTCAATGTGGAGCTCAAACCCACAATCCTGAGATTAAGCGTCTCATTCTGTACTGACTGAGCTATCCAAGCTGGGAGGGAGGGAGCGAGGGAGAGAGGAAAGGAAGGAAGGAATGCTATTGTTTTGTTTTTTAAATATAGGTAAAGGTAAAGGGACCCCTAACTATTAGGTCCAGTCGTGACCGACTCTGGGGTTGGGGTGCTCATCTCGCTTTATTGGCCGAGGGAGCCAGCGTACAGCTTCTGGGTCATGTGGCCAGCATGACTAAGCCGCTTCTGGCGAACCAGAGCAGCACACGGAAACGCCGTTTACCTTTCCGCCGGAACGGTACCTATTTATCTACTTGCACTTTGACGTGCTTTCAAACTGCTAGGTTGGCAGGAGCAGGGACCGAGCAACGGGAGCTCACCCTGTCGCGGGGATTCGAACTGCCGACCTTCTGATCGGCAAGCCCTAGGCTCTGTGGTTTAACCCACAGCGCCACCTGCATCCCTATTGAGGGCCTTATCTTCCATGAATTTGTCTAATTCTCTTTTAAAGTCATCCATGCTGGCCACATGACCAGCTGTACGCCGGCTCCCTCGGCCAATAAAGCGAGATGAGCACCGCAACCCCAGAGTCAGTCACGACTGGACCTAATGGTCAGGGGTCCCTTTACCTTTACTTTACTGTAAGGCCTTCAATGGCTACTAGCCAAGATGGCTATGTTCTACCTCCACTGCCAGAGGCACTATTCCTCTGCATGCCAGATGCTGGGAAGCACAATTTGGGGACAGTTCTTTTGTGCTCAAGTCCTGCTTCAAGGCAGCAGTTGGCCTCCATGGGAACAGGATGTTGGACTAGATGGGCCATCGGCCTGATCCAGCAGGACTGGTCTTACGTTCTTAAGATGATAACAAAAAATTGTCTCCATTTTTAAGGGGCTGGGGGCAGTGAAATCTTTATATTTTTAGACAGTTGCTGCGTCGCTTGTAGATTATGGTATGAAGTACCATTTCTGGCCAAACTGGAAAATATATAGAGGCTGCCTGAACTCCCAAGTGTTGCTTGAAAGGCAGCTTGTACCTTTACTGTACAAAGGTAGAATTTAGATTCATTGCTCTGCACACTTTTGCCTTTGGCCCCACCTGCCACTGGCTTATGGTCCCCAGAATGTTATCCAGAAGGTGATGAAAAGAAGAAAAGGTTCTTCCTCACCCCTGTTGAAAAGGAACAATTCATATAAACTAGTAAAGTTGGTCTCAGCATGGGCTGACAATACTTTCTCCTGGTTTTGTTCTTCACAGGGGTAGGAGGTGGGACAGTCATGCTCGCTGGGAAAAGTACCGCAGACACATATGTGGGAGGGGAAATCCAGTCTTAAAACAGCACCCTGGATTCATCCTTGCTGATTCATAACTTCCTACATGCATTAAAAAAACCAGTTCAGCCATTTCCAAGAGATGCAGGCTAACAACAACAAAAAGTGAGATGAAAAATTCAGGCACCATTTAGTTCCTTTCTTCCCATGATTTTTTTGGGGGGAAGAAGGGACATCTCTTTGATCTAAGCTTTGTAGGACAATCCAAATGACAGCCAGAGTTCAAACAAGAGCAGCTCTAGGAGTGCTCATGAACCTTCAGCATGTGGAGATATGCTCGGAGTTGTCCTTTTTCAGGTGTGTTCAACAGAGGGAATGCTCTGCAGTTTTGCCTCAACTGGCTTTGTCTCCCACATTCATGGTGAAGCCAGTTCCACTTGCCCTGACAAGGTTGCTATAATGGGGGCAAGTAGGAACCTGGAAGTTGTCTCAGACTGAGTCAGACCATTGGTCCATCTACTGTAGCTCAGAATTGTCTACACGGTAGCATGAAATCTGGCCCCAACTTCCTACAAATCCTCAAATAAATATACTCCCAAGCCTCATCAAAATGCAGAACTAACAATATGGACTCTAACACCATAGCAATCCAAAGAGGCACAAAACAAGGATGCCCACTGTCTCCCTTCTTCTTTATCCTGGCTCTGGAACCCTTAGCAATCTGAATCCTAGCAGCCACAGGCATCAAGGGAGTGGAAATAAAAAGCAGAACCTATAAATTAGGGCTCTTTGCAGATGACCTAATGGTCACAACACCAGACCCCTTAAACACAGCAACCTCCCTAATCAGAGAACTCAACACATTTGCAGTGGTGTCAGGCCTACAAGTAAACTTTGCAAAGTCAGAAGCTATGTGCTTCAACACCCCTCCTCACACCCAAAAAGAACTCACTAATGTCACCAAGATAAAACTTTGCCACACCATGTTCAGATACCTAGGGGTACAAATAACCAGAAACCTCAATAAATTATACCTCCACAACTGCAAGCCCCTGTGGCGCCAAATTAACACCTAAATTAAGACCTAAAGAGATGGAACAACACGAATTTCAATCTCTCAGACAAAATAGCCATGATCAAAATGACCACCCTCCCAAAACTAAGCTACTTATTCCAAACCCTCCCAATCTGGATTTCCCAAACCCAACTCCACAGATGGCAGAGAAAACTACACTCCTTTATCTTCTCATACAAAAAAACCATGAATAAACCCCAAATACCTGCACCTCCCCACCTCAGAAGGAGGATGGGGGATCCCCAACATAGAAACATATTACATTGTCAACCAAATATGCCATATAATCCCATATATACTGGAAGATGAGACAAAACAATGGATACACCTAGAGAGGGACACAATTGAAAGTACCTGCACCACAGCATACCCTCTCCTCCCAAACAAACTAAGAACAATTCCCACAACACTTAACAGGTACACATAGACCATGCTCAAAAATCCACCAACAGCATACAAATCAGTATAGCTAACCTGAACCAAAACGCCCACCCACCCCACTCACACATGAAAACAAAGACCACCACAGCCAACCACAATTGAACAACCGCACCCTAGGCCAACCCCAACCTTTCCCACCAGCAAAGGAACACAAGTGAACAGCAGAGAACCTGCACAAGCAACGCTGACACCAAACCCTACATATATTAAGTAAAATAGAAACATCATCACCCGACCCCACCCCCACCCATCTTCCCCCCCTCCACCCCTTCACCCCTTTTCTTCCTAATGTCTCAACAAATGAAACTGATTTGTAAAAATGTTACATGGAAAAAATACGAGAGAGAGACATTGCACATACTTTTGTAAATCAAGAAAATCTTTACTAACAATACATTTTTTAAAAAAGAATTGTCTACACTGTCAGGATTGTAGACAGCCGACATTCCCAGCCCTACCAGGAAATGTTGGGGATTGAACCTTCATGCAAAGCAACTGCTCTACTGCTATGCCCTTTCCCTTTGCAAGTACTGTGCACACATGTGAAGGAACCACATTCTGCTAGTGCAACAGGAAGTAGTCCCATCTTGGACAAGCACCTGCCAGTCTTCCTTGCTATTGAGCTAACATAGCCAGGCAATCCTCCCACACACAGAGTGACATGTCCTGTGTTATAGGGGACAGTGTTCTATTTGAAGGGCTGTCCTGGTCCAAGTTTAGTTTAAAGATAAAGAAGCATCAGATATGACTTTGAGGGAAAGAATGTGCTTCAAATGCTTTCAAGACATAGTGTGTACACAACCCAGAGGGCAAAATGAGATCTAATGGGCTTAAGTTGAGGAATGGTAAATTGCTGTTGAGTATTAGGAGAAACTTCTCAATGGCAAAAGCAGCTGGATAATGGGATACATACCTAGAGACGTGGTGAGCTCTCCTTTTCTGGAGGTCTTCAGGCAGAGGTTGAACATACATGTCTTGTGGGAAGCACTAGGTCTGATTCTGCTGCGTTGAGCAGGTGGTTGGATTAGATGGTTGGTCTAGAGGACCCCATCCAGCTCTATGATTCTATGAACATAGGCCAGGAATGGGGAACCTCTGACCTTACATATGTTGTTGGACTCCAACCCTCAACACCCCCAGCTAGAATGGTCAATAGTCAGAGGCAATGGGACCGGGTAGTCCAACAACATCCAGAGGACCACAGGTTCCTCTTCTCTGTAGAGCAGTACAATGCCAAATGCTAAGCTTTGTGAGATACAGCATATTTACAGAAGTAAAATAGAATGGTCTTCAACAAACTTAATCCTCAGGCTGTGTACACATTACCAGCTTAAAATGCAGCTAGGTTATTCTTTGGATCAATATGGATTAAAGTTGGCTTGGGGTGAACTGCATCAAAATGCAGTATTTCACAATAAAAATGGTCACATGGCTAATGTTGCACATCCACCACTTTCCAAACCGGGGTGGGATGCAGAGGAAATAGGGGTGTGTACGCACAGCAGACGTAAGAGAGAAAATGCTTTCTTTCCAAAGCATCTGCATATCTTACTGTCTTCTCGCTATGCATCTAAAAAGGAAAACAAATGAACTGCACTTCGGCTTCATCTGAAGGTACCATTCATTTTTATAATGGTTTCAGAGCGTGGAAAAAACCCATTAACTTAATTGTAACTTGTTCCGCCCCCTTACTTTTTCTTGTAGCAATAAGAGGACATGTGAGAAAGTTTTTTTAAGTGTCTCATTTAAGCACTCATATCAGATCTGAGGCTGCAGCCTTGTTTTCGGTTCTGAGAACATAAGTCCCTGGAAACCCATTATTACGTAATCTAGGTATAAGGTACCCCAACCAATCATACCGCTATATTGCCTTGGGGAAATGATGTATTTCTGTGAAGCTGAGCCATGGAACACTTTCTGGGGTCATTTGTGTCCTCAGAAATATTGGAGGAATCTCAAACAGTGTGTACCCTTTGCCTCCATCATTGCTCAGAGCCGAGTATTAAGAATGGCGTTGCCCACTGTGTGAAATGTTCTCCTTCCACTTATTAGATCTTCAGTTTCTAGTATTTTCTGTTATTTTCTTGAGCTTATAAACATTGCATGTTTTGGGGTATATGGGGTGCTAGGGGAGGGGTAGTACCTCTGATGGGGGACACGTCATGCATCTTCTGGGGTAGTTTGTTCCCCTTTGATCCCCACCCTGCACTCAGCTCTCACCTGTGGGGCCTAGAAACTGTCAGCATGTGACAGTA